TTTTACTTTTAATGTTATAATCGTCATTATTAATAGTCAGGAAAAAAAAAACAGTTAAGGAAAATCGTTTGATGAAAATTCTAGTTGTGTCATATTCAAATTTGGATTTACATATAACTAGTTTGTTGTGAGTTATTTACCGGTTTCCTTATAAAACTGGATATATTATCTGAATAAATATTATTGAGTAACGTATATACAGTTAATATTTTTTTAATTTTAAAAAGTCTTATTTCTAATCTAATTTTTTAATATTATTTATTTTATTTTAAAAATTATTTTATAGTTCTTAGTTAGAACTATAAAATGACTTTTTCAATTGGCCCTTTTTTTTTTTTTAAGGATAATTAAATATATTAAAGCTTACTCATTAGAAATTCCCAGATAAACCGGATATTCTTATCGATATATTTCATTGTGGTTAGGATATTTCGTGAAATATCTAAGAGATGAAATGATTTTATTAATTAAAGAGAAGTTACAAGTGCAAAACTTATTCACTTTTTATAACAATCGAACGTTTTTCGTATAATTTATTTTAAACATTTCTAATATAAAGTATATAAATTTATGTAATTAGATCAAATAAAATAATTTTATATACTTAATAACGTTTTATAAGTTTCTCTTTATGTCGCAAGAAGATTAATGTCATAGACTGATGACAAATTAGGTAGCATTAATAGGTAAAATAAAGGCTACGTCATACATATAGACGTATTTTATAATTTTGTCATTGATTTTATATTACGTAATGATAATTAGAACATTATTATAACATAAAATTAACTAATTACTTTGTCGTCTTAAAACCAATAACATAGATTTTGTATTTAAAATGCTATTACTTTTTAAACGGATATTCGTTTAGTTATAACAATAATAATAACAACAAATTCATTAATTGTTTTTTAAATAAAATATATTAAGTTAATTCATTATATTTTTATTATAAATATAATAAATTTCTATTAATTCGTTTCTAGAAATCAATAGAATATGCATAAGTTTCTGCATAAATTTTATAAATATAAACAATATCTTCATTATATTAATCAAAATTTATAATAAAAATCTTTAAACAAAAAAAAAACTTATTTTTAAATAAATAAAATTTCGAAATTTATTAAAAATGTAGCCTAGTTTAAGTCAAATCTTTTAAAATAATAATAAAAAAAAAGTATATAAATATTTTAACATTAAATATTTATTTTATTATTAATCAGGTCGCATAGACCAGTTTAATAAAGAAATTCAAAATAAGTTAATAGATTTATATATAGATAAATTATAAATAGATGTAAATGAATTTATTTAGAAATAAATGCTTTTTAATTAAATGCATCACAATACAAAAATATTTTAGAATAATTTCGGTAAATCTATTTTTAATTAATTAAAAAAAATGTAATAATATTAAAAAAAAAATAAGTTTAAAGATAGAAATAAAAAAAAATTCTTTAGAAAAATTTCATTTGTAATTAACATGCTGTGTTTTTAATTGTATATAATAATAACATTACAATAAAAAAGCAAGGATATAAAACAAAAAATTTGATAACATTTCTTATAAAAAAAAGGGAATTCCTGACTTACTAAAATAAAAAAAGAAATTATTTTTAGTTATTAACTTACCCTTAATCATTAAGAATGTTATAAAAATTTCATTTTTTTAAATACTAAATGTAATGACAGAGTTTAAGTGAGTAATTTTGAAATATTTCTTTCCTTCTATAGGTCAAAACTAGGGAAAGGGTGAATAATTTAACAGTTAGATTCTGAAATGATATATATGGAAATTTAAAGACAGAATAAACGTTATATTTATTTTATTTTTAGAATTTAATTAATATTATTGTCATTATAATAATACAGTAAAGTTACAAAATAGCATCTTTCTAAACATCACTTAAAAATTACAAAAGAAGAGTAAGAAGAGGCAATTTTTCTATTGTTATTGATTGCTTTATTCCTGTAAAGTAGTTTGTAACAACATTTTTTAATGAAATTTGTTTTCGCGTTGTTACTATAATGAATACAGTGTAAAATATTATCTTAAAAAAAGTGTTTTTTTTTTACTGCTTTTANAATAAAAAAAAAGTATATAAATATTTTAACATTAAATATTTATTTTATTATTAATCAGGTCGCATAGACCAGTTTAATAAAGAAATTCAAAATAAGTTAATAGATTTATATATAGATAAATTATAAATAGATGTAAATGAATTTATTTAGAAATAAATGCTTTTTAATTAAATGCATCACAATACAAAAATATTTTAGAATAATTTCGGTAAATCTATTTTTAATTAATTAAAAAAATGTAGGCCTAATAATATTAAAAAAAATAAGTTTAAAGATAGAAATAAAAAAAATTCTTTAGAAAAATTTCATTTGTAATTAACATGCTGTGTTTTTAATTGTATATAATAATAACATTACAATAAAAAAGCAAGGATATAAAACAAAAAATTTGATAACATTTCTTATAAAAAAAAGGGAATTCCTGACTTACTAAAATAAAAAAAGAAATTATTTTTAGTTATTAACTTACCCTTAATCATTAAGAATGTTATAAAAATTTCATTTTTTTAAATACTAAATGTAATGACAGAGTTTAAGTGAGTAATTTTGAAATATTTCTTTCCTTCTATAGGTCAAAACTAGGGAAAGGGTGAATAATTTAACAGTTAGATTCTGAAATGATATATATGGAAATTTAAAGACAGAATAAACGTTATATTTATTTTATTTTTAGAATTTAATTAATATTATTGTCATTATAATAATACAGTAAAGTTACAAAATAGCATCTTTCTAAACATCACTTAAAAATTACAAAAGAAGAGTAAGAAGAGGCAATTTTTCTATTGTTATTGATTGCTTTATTCCTGTAAAGTAGTTTGTAACAACATTTTTTAATGAAATTTGTTTTCGCGTTGTTACTATAATGAATACAGTGTAAAATATTATCTTAAAAAAAGTGTTTTTTTTTTACTGCTTTTAATATTTTTATATCTCAACTTTAATAGTGAATATTTAACTGAATTAATGGTATCAGGAGCATTGTTAATATCATTAATTAGTATTTAAAATAATGTTGAATAGAATTTACTTCTTAAATAATAATTTCTGTTATTTAAAACAGTAAAATATTCAAAGAAAAATATTTAGAAAGTTTTCAATTATTATTAATTTTTAATTTCTAATGACATTTTCAAAGTTATTTTCTACAGTAGCGCAAAATTGATTGTTAACAGCTGCATTTTAATTGTATAAATGATCTCAAAATTCAGTTATATAAATATGAGATATGTTACATAGTTCATTGCACTTTATTTCAATTATGTTTTACTCTATCAAACACATTCTATAAATCACTTTAAAACGTTAAAACAATAGCAAATACTACAGAAATATATTTCTAACTATATTAGATGAATAAGCAGGCATATTTAAGTAAAATTCACGGATAAATATTCATGATAGGCTAATAATTTTTCGAAGAAAAATGCTAACATTAAGTATTATTAATTAAAAAAAATTTAAACAAGGTAAAATATAGAGATAGCATTGTTTGATACTCATACTTACTTTCCCCATTTTTTTTTGCTTGTCTGCATATATTTTAATATCCTGAAGGTTAAGAATAATAACGAATTTGAATTATCCTTGAAATTTCATATAACAGTTGTTATGCATATAAAGGGCATGTCAGTTCTTTTGACAAGCTCTACATGCCCTTAACTGACAGCAGAGTTTTACACATCTCCATATTAATAACTGTTATATAAATATTATTATTAAACATTACATATAATAGTAAACATTAGTGGTGTATATAAAATATATTTTGATATTCTAAATAAACAAAAACATAAAAATATTCATAAATGAAATTTAAAATCATTGTGAATTTATCCATAAAATTATAGGCCTATACATTTATAAGTTTTTCAGGTATTTAAATTTTCATTAAAATAACGAAATAATATTCATCTAGATAGAATTCAAGTTAGAATAAGACTCAATTAGCAAATTAAATTAATAAAGTGTTAACAGTAGAGAAATCAAAGACTGTTTGGAAGAAAATCTCACGTTAAATACTCGTAAGTATTTAATGAGTTCAAAGAGAATATTTTCTTCTTTTTATTCCATAAGATAAACTTTATCTTATTTATAAGTAATTAATGCAAATGGATTATTATTATTCATATCACATTTATTATTTTTTTAATGTTTGTAGTTATACATAATAATAATATCTAAAAATATTGATTGAATGTTTATAAAAAGTATATTTAGTTCTTGAAATTATTGTTATGCTGTATGCGAAATACAAAGAAACATGATTATTATTTAAATTTATTTCATGATATTGTTTTACTTTTAATGTTATAATCGTCATTATTAATAGTCAGGAAAAAAAAAACAGTTAAGGAAAATCGTTTGATGAAAATTCTAGTTGTGTCATATTCAAATTTGGATTTACATATAACTAGTTTGTTGTGAGTTATTTACCGGTTTCCTTATAAAACTGGATATATTATCTGAATAAATATTATTGAGTAACGTATATACAGTTAATATTTTTTTAATTTTAAAAAGTCTTATTTCTAATCTAATTTTTTAATATTATTTATTTTATTTTAAAAATTATTTTATAGTTCTTAGTTAGAACTATAAAATGACTTTTTCAATTGGCCTTTTTTTTTTTTTAAGGATAATTAAATATATTAAAGCTTACTCATTAGAAATTCCCAGATAAACCGGATATTCTTATCGATATATTTCATTGTGGTTAGGATATTTCGTGAAATATCTAAGAGATGAAATGATTTTATTAATTAAAGAGAAGTTACAAGTGCAAAACTTATTCACTTTTTATAACAATCGAACGTTTTTCGTATAATTTATTTTAAACATTTCTAATATAAAGTATATANTTTTTTTAAATTTAATTACGAAAAATTTTAATACGGAAGTTTAAAAATGTTAGTTGAGAAAGTTACGACATCACGACCTATTCTCTATTCTATATCCTATATCTTTGATATTTCATTAAATGATATTCAGGTTATTTAAGCCGCAGTTACAGAACGGATTTTATATCAAAGCTGTTCCAAGTACTAAAGAGAAACATTACATAGAGATATCAGGATAGGTTTTTTTTTTTTTAAAAAAAAGGAGAAATTATTATTCTGGAAAGCGGTTAAAATGATAAGTTTTGGAGGTAAGTCATATAAAATTTTTTTTATTACTAAATTTCTTAGGATGACTAAAATAGCAATTCTCCAAGAATATTTTGCATTAAATAAACTACTAATTTTAAAAATTAAGATTTCACAATTAATACGAATTTTTAGTTTAAAACAGGTTTATAAATTATTCAAGAAATGCTCTTCTGTTTTAAATGTTAAATACAATTTAAATTTTATATTTAAATATATATTATATTTTTTATACAAGCTCAAATACATTATAAAAGTCTGAATATTATTAAAGTTTAATAAAAAGGAAAAGAGTAAAATTGCATTTAAGGATGAGACGAGTTGAAGTTTCATCAATTCGAGAGCTATTTCCGTATTAACTTGGCCGAATTTATAAAAAAATAAAATGAATACACATTTAATAATATATAAAGACATATATTTAACCTTATTTCTTTAATATTTTCCCCATATTTATAAACTAAATTAACCATTAATGGAATTAGGATATACCAATGAAATTTCAATATATTTATACAGATTCTGTCTTAACTGGTCAAGGATCATCTCGAATTTCAAGGTTTTACAGTATGAAAGTGTCGTAGTACTCTATCAGGCAACAGTTCTCGCATCGGAAGGACGTTCGACGGTCGCAATCCGGTTTAAACATAAGTAAGTAGATTATCATATCAAGTTATATTTATTAAGAAATTAAACAGTGGGATATTTCCGAATTATATATTTTAAATTTAAATTTCTCAGTGGGAACGAAATCAGAAACTAATTTTTTTTTTTTCCTTTCCTAACACCTTTACCGTTTTATTAAATTAAATTAATGTTATCTCGTATTGTTTAATCAGGTTCTTTAATTCAAATTAATGTAGAAAATTTCCCTTTACATATTAATAGTAATAATACAATGTAAATTAACAATTGATATTCTTATGTTTATATTAAATTTTTATAAAGAAATTAATAAAGAAATATGAGAAAATTAATATTTAGTATATCGAATTTATTAATAGGAAAAATTATCTTTATGCAAATTTAAAATATGTATAATTATTAGAGAGATTGCGGCCAAAGTTTTCATCTCTAAAACGTGAACGTCGAACGTCGAGCGCCACTATCTTGTAAGCGGCGCTTGACGTTCGACGTTCACGTTTTAGAGATGAAAACTTCGGCCGCAACCTCTCTAATATCTGATTTCCTGGTCTTNATTAAACTATATATGTTATTAAATAGGTGATAACAACTGAAAATATGTAAATTTTTATTTAAAAATTCTACTCGTTGAATTAGTAAATTAAAATCTATAATGAAATTTTATATATTTCTGTACAATTTTTATAAAAAAAAGTGATTAATTATGCTAAAGTAATCGTATTAAATGATTAAAAGATTATCATACAAATTATTTATAAAATAAAATATTTAAATAATTACACATATATGTTATCAAATAACAGGGTTATATACATTAAAATACTGGTATAATTTCTTTGTAATTATATATAGGCCTATATATATATATAAAAATGTATTAAATTTGGGTTAAGGGAACAAATTACTAATTGTTTTTAAAAAAATTAAAAATATAATTGTTTAATAGATATTTACTTTTTATCGAGTTAGTAAAACACGATTGCTACTTCATTTCAAAATTATACAATTTACTTTTTTCAAGTATTTTTTTATTATTATTTTTACTATTATAAAAAATTAAAAGTTAAAATAAAGTAAGAAATTAATTATAAAATTTTAAAATATTAATTAAATGATTTAAATCTGGTTTAAATTGATACAAACAATAAACAAGTTTAGGTTAAGGCATGCACCAGATTAAGGAAAAAAAAAAAAGTAATTTAATTTCATTAATGGACAGATAATCGGGATCAGATAAAGAATTAAGTATATATAAAAACACTTTTAAATGCATGACATTATTTAATTAATATAAATTACATATAACATATAAATATATATTAATATAGGACCTATCAGGCCGTTAAACTTAACAAATTAGTTATACATAATATAGATTTCTATATATTTTTTATTTATTAATTTTTGATATTTTTAATTAATATTTGAATATTATTAATAGAATAAGAAGCAATTTATAAATTGTGTTTTTATTTAGAATTATCTACAAGGAAAAAAAAAGGATATAAGTTTACAATGAAAGAAAATTATCCTCAATCAAATACGGAAGTGATAAAAATTCGATGTGAAATCATACTCAGATTTCTTTAATGAAGTGTCATTTACTTCTATACACCCTATAAATACGATACGTGGGCGTTAGTGATTGTAATTACTTTAAAATTGTAATGATTCCATTATGTAAAAAAGTTATAAAAATTAATTAAAATATTTTATGTAATAACTTATACTTTCTTTTAGTTTTTTTTTTATTGTTGTTAGAGTTACTGAAATTATGATTTTCGTAATCTAAAAATATCCCTATTGTAATCTTACGTTTTCAGAATTTTCATGTATATAAATATTATTTTTGCTTAATGTCACTTTCAAAACATAAATTTACGTAATATTTTATAATAATCGTTCTAAATTTAGTATAACTATAAACAATAATTCATTATTATAAATATTTTTCATGAAAGTTATGCCATTGTATCTCTTATTATAAGTTATTAATCATATATGCCATTTTCTAATCCTAAATTTATCTCTATTGTTTAAATGATTATTTGATATATGATGCTTTTATGTATTGTCATAATTTTTTTAAGAATAAATTCTTATATTAAGTAATAAAATTTAATATAATTAAATTTGAAATCTTAACCATAAATTTATTTATTATATGATTTAAGTAAAAAAAAAAAATTAAGCTTTATCTTAGAATTAAACGTGATTTAACTAATTTTTAATACAGGTTTATATTGATGATGCATTCTAAAATTTAATTTTTTTATTGCAGTTTTTCAAGGAGAATATTTTGAAGAAATAAATTTTATTTCCTGTTTATATATATGCAAGTAAGTTTTATTTAATAATTTAGTCATACTTCCAAATAAAGTAAAACAAATAAAACACACATAAAAAAATCGCAAGTTAAACTGACGAAACACTGGATACATATTACTTAATTGCCGAAAAAGCAATAACACTTCCTTAATCATAACGGTAGGGAAAAAAAAAATTGAAAATGAAAGTAGTCAAAACTTCCATTGTTTAAATGTATTTGTTCCATTGATTATTTATTATTGTGTTAATTATGTCATTCATTGTTTTATGGAGGGCAAAGTACAGTAGGTTCATGTACTAGACCTATTTTCTATTTATAAAAAAAAAAGTATAGATGTCATTAGCAATATAATTTGCAACAAATTCTTTATATTTGATTAGATTAAGAAAAGAAAAATAGATAGAAAAAAGGATTTGTCTCAAAAGTTTAGGTGAAATTATACTTTTAAAATTATTTATACATAGTTACAACGAATGTACTGAAGATATTTTTGTTCTTTAAATTAAAAAGAAATCATTAATTTACGTCCTAAGATATTGTGAAAATTTAAAGACGAACTGCATCTGGAATTTACAAAATTATCGCTCATACAGATAATTTTCAGCCGTTATCAGTGTGGATGTCCAAAGACAACGTTATATCAAGATAATAGATTTATTAAAACTTACAGTTTCATCAATTCGATACATTTAGAAATACCTGGAATATGAAGAACAAAAAAGACATGATCCACAGAAGATTAAAAGCAAATCTAAATATTGTATTAGGAAGATTAGCGAGATTAGAATGGGGAAAAATAACATATGTTATGGAAACATGAATGGCTTTAAGTCAATTTTAATGACGAAATTAGTGGAATTATTATAGTGTCATGATATTAGAAAGGGGCCAAGATTATTTTACAATCGTCAATTTGATAGATCGCTTATGGTATGGAGAGCATTTTAAATTTAAATTTAACAGTTAATTTAGTATTTTTAAATAGACGTCGATATGAAGAAAATTATCAAACTTTTGGGAATAAGTAAATAAGTCGATTGAATAAAGCAACACAACATTTTACTGATCTGATAAAAGGGAATTACTCCTTCTAAAATTTTCTATGGGAAATTTGCTACATTTAGGTGTTAGATATGCAAAGAAAACACGGAAAACTCCAGGTGACTAAATCGTGTGGTGAGTCGCTTAACCGCAACAAACTTCCAATGTTCAGTGACTTAACTTTAGAAAATAATATATAAATAAACTAAACCCAATTGAAAATTTGCAGTGGGATCATGACTCGGGAAGTTTATGGCAGGATAAAATGATTTAATTATTGTAATTTATTTATAATAAAATTTACATTTGTGGTTAATTGATTTACATAATTCAAAACATTTGTTCTGAAATGAACTTGAATCGATCTATTAAAAACACACGTACAAAATTCCAACTTTTTAGTATGAAAATTGCGAAATTGTCTCACATTATTTAGATTAATATAGAAGGGAAAATACGAAGAAAATAATTTTTATTACGCCTATCGTAGAAAAACTAAAAATTCATCATTTTGTACACGTGCTAATATTGCATAAATCAATCGAAAAAAAAAAATTAAAATTTATCTCTATTTAAAAATTATTTTTAAAAATAAAAAAAATAATATAAATTTTCGATACATGCTTTAATAGCATTAATTAAAAGAATTTTCATATGAAAAACTGAAAACAAATGTCACGTTTCTTAAGTTTTTATTGATATATTTTCAGTATTATAAATTGCTTCTAGTATGACGTCAAAGAGATGAATTCCAAAATAATCTATTGTTCTTACTATAAACAATAAAATCGTGACATTGTGCCTATTGTGCTTAAGTATGAAAAATGACGAAAAATTTGTTTTCGGATTTGCAAAGCATTTTTTTTATTTATTTTTTTATTTTTCTAGGATATACACCATTGAGAAAATATGTTTTGTTGCAGTTAATATCTAATAATTCGTGAATTAAATTATTCATTGTTTACATTAAATACTTAAGCTTATATTTTGAATTTGTAATGTATATATTTGATGAATAAATAAATATATATTCAAATTTAATTATAAACATAAATAAATTATTCACGCTCTTTTCTCAAATTATTATTTTTACTTTTTTCCTTTTTTTTTTGTAGGAATTTACATTTAACTTTTAATGCTTATAAAATTAAACCATTACGTTCTATTATATTGAAAGTCTTCTATTGTGGTTTTGTAATATTACGTTGAAATTATTGTAATTATTTTTCTTTGTATTGCAAAAATAATTTTAAAATTTAAAGTTTAAAAATAAATATATTTCAGGAAAAATTGAGAAAATATGTTTTTCAATTGAAATATTTTTAAATATTTTATTTAAATATTTCTATATATGTAAATAAATAATAATATAATTAAATTACTCAATTATAAATACATAATCTAACTTTATATGGCTTGATAATTAGCATAATTTATTTTAGGAGTTTTATTAATTATATCGTTCGAATTATTAATTAAATGTCTTAGATTAAAAAGTGTTTATAGATTATGTATGTTAATATGCATTGATTAGTATGATTTTCTGTGAAATAATTTTGCAGAAACTTTTTGTGACTTTTCAAAAATATTAGCATAGATTAAAGTTTCTCAAGCTGTAATCCGCGGACCACCTGCGATCCGCGATGATGGCACAGGTGTTCTGCAAACAGAGTTAAAAGAATAAAGATTAAAATTTCTTATATTTTTAACTATTATAAAATGTCAAAAATCTTAATTTTGAGGGTATAGATGAGTTTTATAAAAAAAAAAAAAAAATTGCGAATGCTAATAAAGAGTAAAATCGTCATCAAGTTCCACCCTACTGGAGCTATACACGACCTCTATTATCTCCCAATCCCGCAGACCTTTAACCACCAAAATTCAGTAGCATCAATGCCCCTAATACATAAAGCTCCTTGTAAAATTTCAGAAATTTTCGATAGAAAGTAACAGCATTAAAGTGCTTTCATAGTACTGTACTGTACATACTGAAACTTTTGCAAACTGTATTATGTAGTCTATATTATTTTAAATAAAGGTTTAAACAGAAGATACCATACACAAATTCTCTTTATTTACATAAAACAATAACTTTAATACATAGGAAAGAAGCATATTAATCTATATTTGTAATACAACTCCCTGAAACCGTTTATATGTCGTGTTAAAGCTTTTTGCTACACTTCTGGATATATGGGTGCAGTCAGAAGCTGTGTATTTAAGACAAGTTTTCCAGGGATAAAATTTTCAACGATAAATAGAATATAGTTTTAACGTTATATACCCATTATCCTCGATATTCTTGTCGATACTGATTATTATAGACGTTATTTTTTAATAGTGGTAACTTGGAATCGTAAAGTTCTTTTTAAGTATCCCCATTACTTCTATATCCTAGTGCACTCAGCTGTAATTTAAGAACAGCTGTTGCCTAGCATCTTTAACATTTAATCCATCTTTACCAATTACAATCACCAAAGATATTATCTATCATCTTTTCTTTTATTATACGATATTTCCTACAGACAATAGGAGTAGTTTAGAGACTGAACAGGGCGCAAATGCTGTCCTTTTAAGGGTTTTTCATGAGTATAGCTTGGTACCACAGGTAGTAATTATATCTTGTTGTATAATAATGACTTAAAGAGCTTATATATATATATTTTCCAAAAATTCAATAAATAGTTTTTAAATTTAATATAAATATTTTGTTGTAAGCATGTTTTAAAACTATTAAAATAAATACAGTATATAAAATTCTACATTTACAAACATAAGTTATAAATAGATAAAACAGTCTCATCTATTACCTAGCACTATAAGCTTGAATAAATTTATTTTATTAACAAGGAAAAACTAAAACTTAAGATACGTAAAAAATATGAATATATATGCTTTAAAACGATATTTATATATAACTAAACACCTTACAATTTCATAATTATATATTCATTTATAAAATACATAATTAAATAAAATATTATTTATTAGTTTTGCATATATTTAACTCTGAAAGAGATGTTTTTTAAATGAAATTCGAAATCATTCAAAATTATAAGTTTGGATTTAATTGCATTTTGATATATTGTACCATTAAAAATTTCAAAAATTCTCGTAAATTGTATCAAGTTTATAATATTTGAAGATGTAACATACGTTATAAACCAACAGAAAAGAAGATTTATGAAAATGTTTCTAACCATTAGTCTATTATACTCAACCCTTTAATTGGAAATTGTTATTAATACACTAATATAGCTGAAAATTAAGAATTTAGTTTAAATTTAATTTAAAAGTGTAAAATTTGACATTTTAATTTCTTGATCAAATTTTCGTTTCGTATCATAGGATAACTCATAAAGTATATAAATTTTATTAATTTTTCTTCAAAAAAACTTTCTTAATTAATAAAAGTAATCCCTCTTGGCTATAAGCCAGCAAAAAATGTCATTGTCCTTATGTATACATAGTCTGCCCGCTTGTTCTTCATAAACTTCTAAACCTTTTGACCAATTCGTACCAACTTTTTTACAATTACTCTTTAGGACCACGGGAAAAATATGGGCTACAAAAAAAAAACCTCGAAACGTCACCTCTTTTCTGATTTAATCCCCTATTAACTGCTAAATACTTTTACCGATATGAATCAAGCTTTTCAAAGTTACATCTCTAGGACCCTGCGGAATATTTGTGTTGACATGATACTTAAATACCTTACACCTCCCTGATTTCATCTTCTTGACACCATGATAAACACAACAATGGTAGGCTAAAATAAACAAACTTTTAATATGGTTTTCATTTTAATGTTTGTCCTTATTGTTATTATTTGTTTACATTTTCATTACTATTTTCTCTTTCGTATATCATATCTTACTAAATTTTTTTATTATTATTATTAAGGTCGTGTGCTATTTTATATTTTGATGATAAAATAATTATAAAATTGATAAAATCTAACTTATATTTTGTAAAGATTATAAATTGATTGTAGATTATAGATTGTAAGCATTATGCTACCATTTATTTATTAATTTTTTTTATATTGTTATTTATTTTTATTTATTTAGTATTTATTTATTTCTTGTTATGTACGACTCTTGTATCATTCTACGTAACGTATTAATTAAATACAATATATCGTTAAAAAATTAAAAACAAAAAGTCTGTATCGTATAATTTAAATTCAAGTGTTTCATATATATATATACATATTTTTTGCCATTAATATTTCATTTATTTTTTATTTTCTTATTCATAATAAAAATTGCGAAAGTGTCATTAATTAATATCATAATATCTGTAGAGAATATATGTTTTGTTGAATGTATTGTAAAAGAACGTGAGTCAGTTGACAGATATAATATTGAATGTACTTCATTTAAGTGACATTTATACGTGTATAATATCAACCTTTCAACAAAGATGACTCTTGTTTATTCTTAATGTAACTAGCAGAATGTCAAGCAAATAACGTAAGTTATTTATAAAAAAAAATTACATGAATTAAAAGC